TCTGTTCTATTCAATTTTCTTTTTCTTGTTTTTTTTTTTCGATTAGGGGTTTGAATCGAATTTTTCAGGGCAATATGTATTCTTTTTGCCTCTGCGTTTGTGTGTGTACGTGCGTGTGGTATTGAGGTTGAATTCAATGTAGATCCACTTGATATGGGCATTTGTGTTTGCGTTTAATTGGAAGATCGATTAGCTCAGGGGGTTTGATTAAGCGTGTGTACTCACCGGGTTTGTATTTTGATCCTCTTGTTATTCTTCAAGGGTTTAAGGCTTCTATTTCGTATGCTGCTTTATGTTTTTTGGTTAATTGTACGAGGGCCTCTGTTGAGGTTGAATAAGAGGTTTATAAGGAACTATGCGAAAAGCGGGTGCTGTGATTCACTGGACAGAGTCGTCTTTGTAGATGTTGTTTCCTTGCTTGTACTTTTCAATATCCAAGATTATTTTCATTGTGAGATTAATTGTTCTGATGTTGTGTGGTTTATTCTATGTGGGCTTTGGCTGATTCTGATGGAATCGGGCTGTTATATTTGATTGACATCTTATGGAATTTGATCTCATGAATTGCTCTTGGTGTAGTCGAAAAGTTCACTTTTTAGGTGAACTATAATATTTTTTGTGGCAAAAAGATTTAATCTTTATCAAATTGAGATAAGACTCTTTGGTGGTTTAGCGATTTGCGGTATAAAAAGCAGAAAGGTTTCAAGTACATCTTGAGGCACACTTGCCTTCGATGGTTGTATTTTGCTTCTGAAGGTTAAGAGGAATCATTAGACGTACGCGTGGAGCAAGAATTGGTACTGATGGGTGGTTTGTTATACCGGTTTTATTAGTTGGATTATTTGAGGATTTTTCCTTTCCTGCATGCGTTTGTAATTTGTGGTTATCTCACTTAGGCATGAAGAAGTTGTTTGGATTCCTCATTATTAGTTTTTATTTATATTTATTGTAAACGTAGATTTTTGTTTTAGTATGGATAATATTATATAGTTGTCTTCACTTACTGAAAATGCTGCTTATTTGGAATCTGTTCTGTGACTGAATATCTCTTGAGCTTGTAATGTCAAGCATTCAGCTATTGTAGGAAGTGGACGTACCTGGCCTTGCACAATGGATAGAGGAATAGATCGTGGGTTATTTCGTAATGATGGATCTTCTATGGGAAGGTTCAAAAACCTTCAAGAGGAGGAGAAGGGTGAACTGTCTGGGAAATCTAGGTCAAGCTCGGTGTTTATTACTCCCGATCGAAAGACTGTCACTAGTAAACCAACTGTAGATAATAAGGCTAGTGGCTCTAAGATAACAAGTGGAAAGCTTGCATTCAGCTTGAAGCAAAAGTCAAAACTTGCTGCTCCCACTGTCAAGTTTGGTGAAGATGAGGATGAAGATGAAGGGGATGCTCGAAAAGTAGCAGATGATGGGCCGACAAAGCGGCCAAAATTGGCACAGTTCAATAATGAATCCGATCAATCATCCAGACCCGTTGATGTTGGTAATTACTTTGTAACCCATTTCTTGTGTGTCAATGGCAGGTGAAGTTAAGCAGGATCACATAAATATGTTGTTTATTTGTCTGCTGGAGGAGTTACCTGGATTGTGCTTATCGCATGTCCGGAAGTTGTAGTCTGGACATATAATTGACTGCCTTAATTATAATGCCTGTAATGTTAGCTTTATGCATTGGTAATGAGCACAGCTTGCTTTGGTTTGTTAGAAAAGAGGGTTATGTCTCTGTTTCGCTTTCGTTAAAATATGTTGTGGGGTGGTGTACTAACTATCCGCTAATTGGCAGACCATTTAAACCTATCGAGCAGTTGTTTCTGTAGCTACAAATTTCAATTCCTATTATATTTATGCTAGTCTGCCAGTTAGGGAGCATGGTACATTCTTTCTGTGCTGTAGCAGTCTGTTTACAAAATTCTGTATGACTTATATGTTGGTCATCCTAGTTTAGGTACTGACTTTGAGTTTTTTGCCTTAGTGTCAGATAAAAGGGCAAAACATTCTTGAATTACTTTTATCGATCAATGAAGCTTATACTTAAGTCAATAGCAACATTGATGGAGATAGATGTCCACTGAAAGATGTGCAATAACCTTCTGCAAGAGTTATTTGCATTCTGGTTGGTATTAATCAGTTCTTTAAGTGGCGTGCAGCACCACCTTCCCCAAGTGAT